TGTGCTTGCTGGTAGAGTTTTGTGATGTCTCAAATCGTGTCCTGATAGACAAGATGTGAAAGATCTTTTGTGTAATACCACTATCTACCCTCATGTTTCTCCCCCTTTTCCTATCTAAGATTATTATCTGATAAGGATAAAATGGCCACGCTCTCCTGTAGTTGCAGCTTCGTGCACTCCGTCTATCTTTCGGATGACTGTACATACATATTCGCTTTGTACCTCGGTGCAATTAAAATAAAGTTTATTCTGATTCTGATTCTGAGTTTGACCTATAGGTTAATCTCTCCAGTCTTTCCTTTAGTTTAGCACTTTCTTGAAATTTTTACTTTTGTTATTCTGCTTTTAAAGTGCCCTTAATTTAATTTTATGTTAAAGATTTTGGTGGACACTACCTGCCTGCCTTCTAGTTCTGCACAATGGTCCTTGACTTCAGGACCATGTTTTGTGACCATAGATACTCTAAATGAGCTTTTGCAATGAGATGTAAGATACTCAACAGATAACTCATATGCAATTGTTGTTTTTTGACACTAGATTTGCTGTACCAGGAATACCAGGATACCGCCAAGCAGCAGGACATCAAGCAACAACGGCTGAACGAGAATTTTATTTCTGGGCATAAGGCAGGAACTGCTGTAGCAGAGTATGGTGTTACATCACCAGGTGTACAACTGCAGCTAAGGAATGCTCAATCATTACGCCTGTGGCAGAATCTGGAGGCTGTGCAAGCTAGTGGCCTTCTCACAAAAATATCACAGAATGAAATCATAGTGCAAGAGGTGGGCTGTTTATGGCAGTAATTTAGCACAATGATAAATGTTATTGTGTAAACAATTAAGCTGCATTCACACTATTTTTTCCAGTTTATTATTTGCATTTATGTTGTTTCTTCTGGCCATTTTTTGTAATCAAACTAGTTATACATTGTGCAAGTTTAACCATTCAAATATAAAAACATCTAGCTCAATTAGTAATATTGTTCTGTTACTTTTGCTTTTTATAACTTTATTTACAAAAATTGTTCCTCATAGAAATACATAATTCCTCAGTTCATTGTCCAGTTTACATCTCCTTAAGTAAACACTATTGCTTACCCATCCATCAATCCATCCATTATCTTCTACTTATTTCAAAGTTGGGTCGCAGGTGTAGCAGCTTGAGCAGGGAGGCCCAGACATCTCTTTCCACAACCACCTCTTCCAGCTTTTCTGGGAGGACCCCAAAGTGTTCCCATGCCAAATGAGAGATGTAGTATCTCCAGCGTGTCCTGAGTCTTCCCTGGAGTTTCTTCCTAGTCAGATATGCCTGAAGAACCTCCCTAGGTAAGCGTCCAGGAAGCATCTTACCAGATGCCCAAACTACCTCAACTGGCTCCTTTTGATGTGGAGGAGCAGCGGTTCTACTCTGAGACTCTCCCAGAAAACTAAACTTTTCACCCTATTTCTAAGGGAGAGTCCTGCTACCCTGCAGAAAAAAAATAATTTCAACTGCCTGTAGCAAGATCAAGTTTATTGTCATTCAAATGGCATGTGGTACATGAGGTGGAAAGAAATTTTGTACTCATGGTCCCAGTTACACCC